TACCAACCATTCAAGAAAAAAGGGCAGTATCTACCCAAAAATGAAAGCTCAGAAAGCAAAAAGGGGAAGAAAAGATGGAAGAACAGAAAAATGGGTAACCCAAGGAGGATGTACTAAGTGTGTGGTCACATTGTGGGTGTTCTAAGGAATGTCATGACACAAAGGTGAATAAATTGTTGAAAGGAAAACTAACATGCCATGTAAGCTTTTCCTCAAGCCACAATAAAAAGCTTCAAAAGCGTGGCAATGGTCTTCATGCTGGCCTAGAACGAGCTTGCCAAATAAGAAAGCACTGTTGTCTTCTTTTATCAATGTTTTGACAATTAGTAAGCTTGACAATAGGGCCATTTAAGGTAAAATTGTAACTCTGTGTGTTATAATTCATGGCCATTTTAAAATCTGTGGTCATTTTAAATTGAAGCAATGTAATATTACCATCTGTCTGGAAGATATTGAAGGAAGCAGTAGTCTGTAGTCTAAACACAAGTACAGTGATTTTCATATTTTCGCTTTTGTTCTAGGGAAAACAAATGTCTGGATGTTTTACATCACTGTCAGCACAATGTGAATGCCATGTAGCTTTCTTGCTTACAATCTCTTGTTGCTATACAATGCTCATAATTATCAATGCATGACTTTGTAATGTCCCATTAGCTCAGTAATTTAATTAATAATTTCTCTGCTGACCAGCATCTAAATTATTTGCTATCTTATAGTATAAGTGAAGGATTTGATGTATAATTACGTAAACTTTTTGTTTAATCACAATTCACTATATATTTGTTAAATTGTCTTTACCAAGACACTTCTACATACACAAAAATCTTGAAGCTGAGACAAATATATTTTTCAATTTTCTTTTCCCCTAAAATTTAGTGGCCTAAAAAATATAATACTCCTCAGAATTGTGAGTCTTAACCTTACAATGAATCAGCTAAAGATCACTAAAATCTGAGGCTTTTTAAACTAATATGCATCCTTCTCAAAACATATGTATGCCCTTCCCTCAAAAAACTTTTGTTAAATGGCACACTTTTGAATAAATAACACATTTCGTAGATGTATTCTCATTCTCCTCTGAAGAGCACCCGGCATCCTTTTCAGTAAGTCAGTCACTTTTTTATTAAACCAAATAATTATAGAAAACATCAATAACTCAAAAGGAGTCTCTAGTTCCCCTAAATTGCAAAGTGCGTGAGTAGTGTTAGAACTATGTCTTGCTTGGAAAAACTTACACTGAGGGGGGGAAATTAAAAATCCAGAAGAGCACTTGAGAAAGCAGGCCACTAAGGTGTCTAGGAAGGGGATTGGAAGAAAGGAGAAACCATCAGCTGCAGAGCTGCCCCCTCTTTTTGCTCGTGGTCTCCTCCTTCCCCTTGTCTGCTGCCACTTGGAGTTTGAAGTAGAGAAGTGATGTCTAGTGATGCTACTTTGAATAAAACTACATGCTGTAAGCATACGACCAACCTATCTGCAGCCAGGAGAGACCTTCTCTGTCGCTGTGTGTGATTGTTGAGTGCATCTGTGTACTCACTTGAGCCCATCTGTGCCTGGACTTGCAACGTGTGTGCCAGGACTCCCCATCAGACACTCCTGGGGCAGCCAACCTGGGTGCAAGAAAGAGGAAATTCTTCCTCAGTAAGGGGGGGGGGGCGGGAGGCGCGGTGACAGCATTTCAATGAAGCTAGGATCTCTCCCAAGAGATAGTCAACACCTCTCAGAATCTCTTAATGTTTTTAAAAACTTACTGTTTGGAATTTTTATTGTAAAAAACATAAATATATATTGTCTTGGAGTAGTTGATATTTTTTTCAGCATGAGAGGATCTGTACTATTTATGGGTTTGCGCTATAAAACTCTGCAGCCCAGTCACATGGCTCCTTTTTCCTAAGCCATCTGTCACAGAGGTCTGGAATTTTATGTGAATGCTGGATGTGCAGTCTTAACCCAAGTTTTTGTTGTTGTTGTTGCTTTGTTTTTATGAAAAATGTCAGCAACTACAACATTTAACATTTTTCTTTATATTTGTCATTAAACTTGATGGCTATAGCTCTGTTTCATTGCTCCAGTTACATTTCAATGGTGAAGCCAAAAATATGTGATTGTGCTTATAATAGAGGATATTGTTTTATCCCAGAGAGAGCACCTGGAAGTGATATAATTAATATCTTGAATTTTTGCAACTAAGATTTATTAATGCTAGTATAAAAAAAATTTCTGATATTATACAGATGGCATAAGATGTTGTGGTTACTAAGTTATTATCCTAGATAAGCTGTACTGTCAAATTCGAGGCTTAAAACTATCACAGGAGATTATTTACTGAAAATGGACAAAAAGATATGTTTAAAGCATCTTAGTACAAACATATTAGAAATGTATTTACTTCCCACAAATATCATAAAGCATATCTATCTCTTAAGCTGAAAAATTGAAAATATGAACTGTGCAAGTGAAACAGAAAGCAGAGATGCTTTTATTTTCTAAATCTGGTACAAGCCATGAGCTTAGAGCCAGGCGTGTGTGCCCAGGCCCTGAGCAGCAACTATTGGGAGGGTAGGGTGTGTGCGTGGCATGGGATGGAGGATGAGAAAATCCCTGGAAATAACTAGGAATCACAAGCTCTGTGGTTCTTAGTGACATATTCAAAGTCTAAAGCTTTGTCATTTGGAAGGGAATAGAGGAGAGAAATTGTTCAAAAGTGAATTGTGAATTGTTGGAATGACAGTGAAATATCAGAAAGATATTCTTTTGATCCAGGTAGAAAAATTACAGTTATTAGATGGTAAGTAATGTTTATGATTTTGACCCTATCTCATACTACAGAACACATCATGTGGAAAATGCAGGTCACGAAGTTTAATAGGACTCAAACTAAAGACATGTTGTTGTTGCTGTTTTTGTGCTGTATATTCAAATTGGAAGTGACCCATAGCTGACCCTCTGGCAGGTTTTCTGAGGCAGTTAGTAGCACAGGGGGAGACTGCCAATCCTTCTCCCGCAGAGCAGATAGGGGATTTGAATCATATGCATTTGGGATGGGAGACAGTTTCTTACCATTAGACCACCAGAGCTGTCCTCTTTTAAAAGAGGAGCATGAGGCCGGTGTGGTGAGGGGAGGAAAGCAGAGTAAGAAAGGAAAACAGAGGAAAGTACATTCCAAGTGTACAACTGCATAAGATAGAATCCGTTTTAAGTTCATGTTAAGACCAAAGCCACACCCACCATTCTAGACACTTCCAATTCATCTTCATCAAAGTTTCCTACACTGTATTTTTTTCTTTAATTTTATATTTTTATGTATAGATAAGTTATTAAATGTTGCTCTTTTATCATAAAACAACATACAAAAAGAAAAAAGTAACCTTGCAAAATGGTTACTTTTCATATGCCATAAGAAAATAAAAAATATTTGCATGAAAATTAAAAACATTATCAAGTGCATTGTTCCTTTTAGAATTTCTGATGTTATTCAATATTTTAGTGCCTTAAACCAGAGGTAATCCTGTCATGATTAGGTCACAACAAATCTCCTAAAAGTATCTTTGAAGATATCATGGGTTAAGTGCCAAAAAATTAAACAAAAAATTGGCAGTTTGAATGCATCAGCCACTCTTCAGAAGAAAGCTGTGGTCATAGAGTTCCATTAATATTTATTGCCTTGGGAATTTAGGAGGAGAACTTCTTACCTTTTGGATCACATCCCAACATTCAGTCGACTACACCACCTAGTACCCTTTATCTTAAAGCTTTCACTTTGAAATTTAAACCCAAAGTATGATGCCAGCAAAAAGGTACCAAAGTGAGGTATGTTTCATAACTTCTGGCTTATTTTTCCTCTCCCATGATTTAGCAATGCTTTTCCACTTCTTTAAAGAACCTAGGATGAAACATGTTTTCATATTTAATCTAACATTCCAATAAAAGTTATCTTCCATTTTTCATGTTAGATAATTATTGTGGTGGAGGAGGGTGTTGGGAAGCTTTAGTGTGCTTTTTGTTAAAGTGTTAATGCTTTAAATGATGAAATGAGAGTAATAATACTGTAAACTAGAAAAAAAGGTTTAAAGGTAAACTTTAAAAGAATATTACACAGGATTAGCCAACCCATTTACTATTAGGAACATCTTATTTATATAAAGCTTACTATTTAAATCTGAGACATGAAGCTCACTAATGGGGTTGCTCTTAAAAGTATGCTGAGAATTGAACATTAAGCAATGCAAATCAGAAAGTCAAATTTAAAATCAGATATACTGACATAAAAGCTTACATTTGAAATTATCCCTTAAAAGCCTGACATGACTAGGCTACAATTGCAAACTGCTGAAATGTGTTTCTGTTTCTTGTTGAATACCAGGGGGCTGAAATAGAAGTGGATGAAAATGGCACATTGGACTTGAGCATGAAAAGAAACCGAATACTGGACAAGGCTGTACCTCTAACTTCCCCTAACAATTCCAACCCAACTCCTTCCTCTTCCCCATTCAAAACAAATAGCCTTTTGGTCAATGCAGCATTTTATCAAGCTCTCTGTGACCAAGAAGGTTGGGATACTCCTATCAACTATAGCAAAGCCCATGGGAAAACAGAGGAAGACAAAGAGGTATTGTTTTAATATGTCAACCAATAAATTTAAGTCAGAGCAGTATTGGATTATTGATAAATTTATCCTCACTAACTTATTATTTTACAGTTCTGTTTAGAGAATATGTAGCACTATGCCTTATAATATATAACTAGTTTGATAAATAATTTTATATTTCAAAAGAAAAAGAAACAAATCCTGCTGTCATTGTCACTTGCATTATAGCACATTTCAAATTTGTCCTTTTCATTATTACTGAGATTACACAGCGGAACACACAGATACTCAACAGTTTCTACATGTAAAATTCATTGCATGTAACAATTAATACCTTCTTTAAGTTACACAGCCCTTCTCACACTCCTTTTTTTGAGTTGTTCTTCCCACATGAATAGGAAAATTTAACTCAGTGGAGGCTATAATTGTGTGCAGAGAAAGAGATAGTGTGTCATCTCTCCTTTCAAGATATGGCAACCTGTAAATGACACTTGTGTCATCAAGCATGAACTCTCTGAACCAGAAAACCAAAGGTGAAATAAATTCAGGAACAAATCTTCAAGTTGTGTCAAATAAATTTCCATGGTTTTGTGGCGTAACTGTATATATGTAAAGAGTCATCATTTGAAGCTCTGGAGCACAAATGTTAGATGTCTAAACTTTATCAGTCCTAAAGATTTATTTTGCTATTTGATCATTTCAGAAATCACTTGAGGATAGTCAGGAAATTGCACTCCCATTTCACCCCTGAAAGTCATATATTTGGATGCATCAGAACTCCTTTAACTTTCATGTTCACAATATAAGCTTCTCAACTTGGCCAAAGTACTCAAGGATAAGCAGTAGGACTATTTAGAGTCATTTGAAGAAATTGGTGTCTAGAGCAAACTATTCAGACTCTTTTCATTATAAATCTAATCTCCATTGTTATAATAAGGAGCTCTGGCATCCCAGCCTGTAGAGAGTTGCACCTTTAACCCAAAGAAGATGCCTCTCTGATGCTTCAAGTCCACCAGACACTCCACAGGAGAAAAATGAGCAATCTCCTCCCATATAACTTACAGTCTCCAAAACCCTCTAAAGAACTATCTGTGGGTCAGTTCTGAATAGACAGTAAGGAAAGAGAAAGAGCTACATTAAATAATTGAACCCTTTTTGCGTTCATTAGGAAGACAGCTGCAATATTTTTGGTAATAGCTAGTTGCCCACTGTTTTAAAGAAATGAAATAACTATTTTCTGCAAAAGTATGCACTTTCTGCCCAGCTTTTTTGAAGTTCACAGATTTCTAAGAGAAGACTAATTTGAATTTAGAGCATGATTTAGCACCTCAGCAGCATAAGTCAGTGGATGTAGTAGTGTAATATGATCAAAAGTGTAAATTGTTCCCAATTCCATATTTCTTCCTTCCCTTCTCATTGATGACCTTTTTTCTGTCTTTTCTTCCCTCCTCACACCTTTTCACAACTACCTTGCAGCAAAGTAAGAAAATATGGTGGCATAGACCATAAGGAGTTGTGTTGTTAGTCCAAAGGCAGCACTTTTCCCGTAGTTTGGATCCACCAAAGCTGAATAGCAGAAAGATAGGAAATTCCCTATGCTGTTTGCAGCCTTAGAAATTCAATGGAAGGTCAGTTATGAGTTGTTTCCAACTCAATGACAAAGTTTTAGGAGCACAGCTATGAACAAGACAAGCTTCTGGCCCATGTGGCTGCAGATTCTAGGAGAAGGACTCGCAGGTAAATCAATGCTCCGGTACACCACATGGTGATGAAGGAATGGAATGTTTAGAAAGATTGCCTGGAAGAAACCATAATCAGAGCAGCTTTGTGCAGTAGAGTGCTTAACAGCATCAGGTTGAAGGAGGAGGGCTCCTCCCACAACAGCAGCTTTTGATAAAAACCAAAGTCATTAATTCTACTTTATTCAGTTAATTCACATAAAATATTGAAGAGTGCTCTTGATTTAAAATTTTAAATAGTTGAATTAGTGAAAAGAACAATTTTAGAAGGGACTTTAATTAAAACAATATATGCTGACAAGATATTTACTTAAGTGATGATCATGAGTTAGCCAATGTGTAACTCCTCCATCTCTCTGCTGTTAGGTTTGTGAAAGAATAAATTACAGCTGTCATCTCCACAACTTGACTGAAAGTAAGGAATGAGCTAGGAAGCAGATGGATTATTTCAAGGCACTATCATGGCACCATCAAGACCTCTGATACAATCTTGTTACATCTGGGATGACATTAGACCAGGAGATTCCATTCACAAAAACAATTATTAATTCCCAGAAAGCCAATTTCAGATCAGACCATAGCATATTGCACCCCACACCATTATAGTTGTGCCAAGAAATCTGGAGGAGAACCAACTGAGTGGAAGAGAACTAGATTTGTTCCCATTCCAAAGAAAGGTGATCCAACTGATTGTGGAAATTATCAAGCAGTGTAATTAATATCACATGCAAGCAAGATTCTGCTGAAGATTATCCAAAAACAACTGGAACAGCACATCAACAGAGAACCGCCTGAAGTGCAGGTTGATTTAAAAGAGGCTGTGGCAGTAGGGATATTATAGCTAATTTCAGATGAATCTTGGCTGAAACCAGAGGAACGTCTACCTGTGTTTCATTGATTATGCAAAGGCATTTGACTGTGTGGATCCCAACAAACTGTGGATGACTCTGAGGAGAATGGTAATCCCAGAACACTTGATTGTACTTATACAAAACATATACTTGGACCAGGAGGCAGTCGTCAGAACAGAACAAGGAGACTCTGCATGGTTCAAAATTGGGAATGGTGTGTCAAAATTGTCAAGGATGGGTTCTAACTCCCTATCTTGTCAGTCTATACACGGAACGAATTATCCAAGAAGAGAAGTGTGCATCAGAATTGGAGGTAGACTCATCAGCAATCTGCGTTATGCAGATGATAAAACCTTGCTTGCTGAAACTGAGGAGGACCTGAAGCACTTGCTGCAGAAGGTCAAGACTGTAGCCTTCAATATAGATTGAAGCGAAACATCAAGAAAGCAAAGATTCTCACCATTAAGCTGATTGGCAGCATCATGATAGATGATGAAGAGATTGAGATTGTCGAAAGCTTCAGTTTGCTTGGCTCAACAATCAACACTCTTGGTACCAGCAGCCACAAAATTAAAAGATTAATTTCATTAGGTAAATCTGCTGTCAGAGACCTCTCCAAAGTACTGAATAGCAATTATGTCAGTCTGGAGACTAAGGTACACCTGACACAGGCTATGGTCTTTGCAATTACTTGCTATGCATCAGAGAGCTGGACAATGACTAGGGATGATAGAGAGTTGATGCTTTGAGCTGTGGTGCTGGAGAAGAGTATTGAAGATACCATGGACTGCTAAAAGAACAAATTCATGCTGGAGAAGGTGAAGCCAGGCTGCTCCTTGGAGGCAAGGATTCTGAAGCTTTGTCAGACATACTTTGGACATGTTGCAAAGAGGGATCAGTCCTTGGAGAAGGACGTAATGCTTGGGAGGGTGGAGGGACAGCGCGGGAAAGGAATACCCTCGATGAGATGAATTGATTCAGTCCCTGGGGATAGGTGTGTCAGAGACAATAAGATTGGCAAGGGATAGAACAAGGTTTAGGGCTGTTGTTTAGGGTCACTATGAGTCACAGGTGACTCGACAACACATAACCACAAACAACATTGTTGAAGAATAAGATCTGCTGACACAGATTCAAGTAAATTGAACATATTGGATTAGAGTCAGTACTTCCCAGAGAAATTAAAACACAACTCTACATTTTTTAAATTTTTATTTTTTATCGGTTTGCTTAAAAATTCTATATACAGTGTATTTCACTAAAGTGAAACTAATTGTTTCACTAAATTGACACTTATTCATCATTCACATTGTTTCACTAAATCATTCCTATTCATTATGTTTTATAAAAATAATCACCATTGGACTATGCACACCATTAACCTGTCTTTTCCAGTTCCTGCTAGATCTTTGTCATATTCCTTATCCCCTCCTTTCACTGACCATATTGTACAGCTCTTTGATTTTGTCCCCACCTATCCTCACACCCCTACTCCTACCCCTTCCTCCCTTGGAACATCATAAATGTCTTACTTTTGTTTATACAATAATGGTCTTATGCAGTATTTGTCCTTATAAAACTGAATTGGCTCACTCAGCATAACTCTCTCCAGTATTTCCCAAATTATGTAGTGCTCCTGAGTACTGTGTAGTATTCTATAATGTTAATGTGCCACAATTTCTCAATCCATTCAGTTGTAGGTGAACATTTGGGCTGTTTCCATGTCCTTGTGATAGTGAAGAACACTGCTATGAACATTGGTGTATAAATCTCCATTTGTGTCTCAGATCTAATTTCCTTGGGGCATATTCCTAGGGTCTGACAGAGTTCCTATATTCTATTTTTTTTTGTGGAAACGCCAAACTGCCTTCCAGAGTGGTCAGAACAATTTACAGTCACACCAACAGTGTAAGATAGTTCCAATCTCTCCACATCCTCTCCAACATTTTTTCTTGCCACCATGCTAAACTTTGCCAGTGCTACTGGGGTAAGATTTCATTATTGTTTGGATTTGCATTTCTCTTATTGCCATTGAATTTGAGCTATTATTATTATTATTATTATTAAATTTTCTTAGTTTTAATGAACATTTACATAGATTTTGTGTTTTCATTCATTCATTGTTGCACTGTTTTCTCTACCCTCCTTCCCAGTTCGTTCTTCTTCCCCCCACTCCGAATCTCTGTTTTGATTGTCCAATTGCCACAGTGCTTGTCAAAGCCAGTTCTGATTAATCTCCTTTGACAGTGTGTCCTTGGCCATTCCCTATCACTTCTCCCTGACAGAGACTTCACCCTGATTCATACGGAAGAGGGGATGATGTATTCTCTTAGCTACTTCCTGCTGAAAAGGGACGCTGTGGGTTTCAGGGTGAAGATCTTCTCTCACTACTCTAAAGGGCCCCTTTGGCAGTAGGAAACACATAGACTAT